CCCTAAAAATCCAAACAATGTTAAGATGTATCTAGCCTTATCTAGTATCTTGGTCTTAAAAAAAATAATATTGGGGTCCTCGGTAATGAAAAGGCAATAATCACGTCCACTGCGTAATATTAATGAATGTTGTAATTAATTATATTACCATGTGGTTCTAATGTGTGTTTTTATTTGTTGTTATTTTTATTTTTTAAGTTGAATAACATGAAAACGTTTGTAAATGGCGTCGTTGCGCACTGTGCTCGTTAATTGGTTGGTTTGGTTCAGTCGCCTTTGAAATTTATAAATGTTTATAGAGATGAAACAATGCCTTTGTTGTGCCAAGAGTGTCCAATAGAACAAGCCTAGACGCAAAATGCTCGGGCTTGATAACATTAACAATTTTCGAGGCTTCTACTCCATAACATATTAAGTGTTGTCGTCGCTTCGAGTTTCGCAGTAGTGTCATCTCGTACTTGATTTGAACCCTTCACTATAAAGTTGACCATTTCCGAAAAATGATACCACCCGCATTGAGGCCGCGACACTCGAATCAGGAGTTCGTTGGCGTCGCTGCTTTGGGGTGCCCCGAGTGACATGGCAGACGTGTACGCGAACGTATTGCTCGCGGAAAATTTATAAACATTTGAAAATGTACCAGTCTCATTTTATGTTACTTAAGCCCCTAAACCCCTTTTTACCTATCGACTTCGTCGTACGCAATCACCCCCCCCCCCCAAACCTCCACGGGGCACTTCTAGCGGGGGCGGTAAATACTGCACCGAGACGACCCTGACGCCAATGCACTTCTGATTGACAGCTCAAGGAGTCAAACAATCAAAACACCGATTATAGAATGCTTCAAATGTAACAAGAAGAGAAATGATAGAAACCTAATTCAGTCAATGCACACTAATATAGACAGACTAGCAACGCGGATTTCTTTTGGTTAAATGCCTGCCACGTTTGTTTTGGGGCTTAACTTTTTATTCCAATAAATAAATAAATAAAACTAACACGACTATAACTTAATAACGCGATGTCATCAAATAACACGAGACAGTGCGATATGTATACAGGGAGTAGTATTACTAGTAGTTGGGTCGGAGTTCATTTTCTTTTTTTCTTGGTTAAATAATCTCAACATTTCTGTAATTATGAACCAAACAAGACTAGAGATAGTTGAAATGTATGTCCCATTAAAATATCAGCTTCCTACTGAATATTCAATGACTTCAATTGCTTAGTTGGTGAAGATATCAACTTTCAAACGCATTGTCCACAAAAACAACGAAGCGTCCACACACGGGAACATTGTCGACGCCAATACTGCCATAGAAAATGTTTCACATATACTGTGAAAATTCAAAATAATGCGAAACTACTACTATAATTGAATGTCGTTGACGGACGTACGAGTATTAACATAGT